AGGGATGGGACTGAGGAAAGAGGGGGGGATGGGTGCGTGAGGAGAGGCAGAGATGGGGGTGTGGAGAGAGGGAGGGACGGGGGTGTGGGGAGAGCCAAGAATCTACCGAATGGGGCAAGGAGATGGGCCAGGTGCCAACACACTGGGGAGTGGGGCTCCCCAAGTATCCCCCTCCCCCTTCCTAAGGCCAGCTGGGTGCCAGGGATGGGACTGAGGAAAGAGGGGGGGATGGGTGCGTGAGGAGAGGCAGAGATGGGGGTGTGGAGAGAGGGAGGGACGGGGGTGTGGGGAGAGCCAAGAATCTACCGAATGGGGCAAGGAGATGGGCCAGGTGCCAACACACTGGGGAGTGGGGCTCCCCAAGTATCCCCCTCCCCCTTCCTAAGGCCAGCTGGGTGCCAGGGCTGGGACATGCTGTGACCCCTGGGGTCAAAGGGCACTGTCTCACCTCCAGGGAGAGGCTGTTCCTACCCAGCTGTTTCCCATTGATGCGGGCCACCCGTTGCAGAGTGCTCAGCGCCATCGCAGGCCTGTGGTTGACGAGGAGCCAGCGCGCAGACTCTGGGATCCACCTGGAGAGGGGAGAGCCAGGACTCCACTCAGACATGGCTGATCGGGGGGCAGGGGGGGTTAGCACTTTGCTCTCGTTTCTTCAGCCCCGTTTTATGGAGGAGGCATAGGGGGATGTAATTTGCCCCCAGCAATGTCATAGAGTTAAGCAGTGGCAGGGCTGGGGGGACAGAACACGGCCCTCTTCCCAGCTCTTACCACTAGACCCCACACCCTCCCAAAGCAGGGAGTAGAGCCCAGGGGTCCTGGGCCCCAGCCCCCTGCCCTCACCACAAGACCTCCCTCCTCTCCAAAGTCCTTCTGGGGATGGGGAACTCACCAGATGCAGAGGAAGAAGACGAAGAAAGGGGTGGAAATGGCCAGCTGCAGCCAGCGCCAATCCCGGATGCCGTAGGCCAGGCCGGCCAGTACCACCTGGCCTGCCGTGCTGCAGTAACTCAGCCATGTCACCACCAAGGCGCGGGACTTGGTGGGGACCCATTCCAGACCTGGGCAGGGGCAGAGGGATGGAACATCTAGCTGGGGGGTGACTCTTGAGCCCTTTCTTCAGACCAAGCTCCCACCATGGCTATCACTCGTGGGCCTCATCCCAGGCCTGCCTTGAGGAAGGGCAGTTCATTTCTGTGTCCCTTTCAGGCCCTGACTTGAGCCTCCCACAATTAGGGCCAGATGAGATTCCTGCTAGGAACTGGGCTGAGAGAGGCCCAGCAAACTCCTTGCACACTATGCAATAAGACACTGGATGGGGAAGGTCCCTGGGCAGCATTAACCTGGATTAGAGTTGGTCCCATACCCCATTCCCCACCCTCTTGAGCCAGCCAGTCCTCCCACTCTGGGGCCAGATTGGAGCGGTGCCCAGTGGAGCTGAAAGGGCCCATATCCTATTCCCCATTAGCCAGCTGCCCTGGGGCTGCATTGTAGCTGGTGCCCCTAGAGGGGAAAGGCCCAGGACCCATTCTCCCTGCCCTGGGGATACTCACTGAGGCAGATGTAGTTGAGGAGGAAGCCTGACAGGCCAACCCCGCTCAGCAGGCGGAAAGCGCAGTAGGTGAGGAAGTTTGACGAGAAAGCAGCACCAGTTCCCATGACAGCCACCAACAGCAGAGAACCTAGCAGGGCAACCTGCCGCCCAAACCTGCATCACAGAGGGGAGGGTCCACAGTAAGACCCCAGAGGGAGCGACGTGGGTCTCACAGGACAGATTGTTCACCTGTGGTGCTCACTGCCACAGGAAACTGCAGCATGTGGTCAGGCATCTCTGATTGTCTGACGTAGGTAACTGACAGCTGAGAATTACTGATCAACAGCAACTGCCTCGGATCACTGGTCATTCCTGGTTAATAACTGATCATCAAAAAAAGTGACCAGCACTTGGTCACTGATCATCGATAGCTAGTAAACTTGTAACCGACCGAGCTTGGCTGTACACTCAGTTCCCTAGCATTTCTTGCTCTGTCTGCAGCTTTGAATGTTCAGACTATCAGGGAATGTGCAAGACACCAATGGCTAAAATGCTAAGGGGATGTTGGGCACAACTGATGAAGAGAAATGGAGGGTATCCAGAGATCCAGCAGCATTTCAGCAGAGCCCCAGCCTCAAGCACCTCCACAATTGTCTTGATCAAAATACCAGCTGAGGGCACTAAATAATGCCCTAGCACAGGGGTGCTCATGCTTCATTGCACTGAGACCCTCTCTGACAACAAAATGACCCAAGGAGGAGGGACCAAAGCCTGAACCTGTCCAAGCCCTGCCACCCCAGGCGGGGGGTGGGGGGGAGCATAACCGAAGCACAAGACCCTCCACTCCGGGTGTGGAGCCTTATAGCCTGAGCCCCGCTGCCCAGGGCTTCAGCACCAGACGGTGGGACCTAGGCTTAAGTCCAGGCTTGAGAAAGTCTAACACTAGCTCTGGCAACCCCATTCAAAGGGAGGCGCGACCCACTTTGGGATCGCAATCCACACTTCAAGAACCTCTGCCCAGCAGCATGCCAACACCCCCTCTCAGCTCTGCCCATCCTCCGCACAGGGTGTAACTGTGGGGGGCATGGCCTGAATGACAGATCCTGGATAAGTAACAATGAGGAAAGGGGAAATAGCGAACATGGGAGAAAGGAAGTGAGCCCACAGCCCCTAGCACTGGGGGAGAGTGAGTGACCCTGGCATGAGGGAAGCAGGGGCTTGCAGTGAGTCACTGAACTAGAGGGGCTAGGAGGGTGATGCAGAGGGGGCTGTGCATGGGATGGAGGGATGCCCTGTGTGTACAAGTGCTGGGCCAACAGAAGCAGAAAAGTATGGGACCCCTTGTTTCCTTGCTAACACCTGTTGGCTGAGGGCTGAGCATCAAGCCATGAGCTGGGACTGCACCACAACCCATAGTTAACAGGCGGCGCTGCAGAGCGGAGCTGCAATAACCAGCTAGTAACAAGTGAGGAGTAACTGCTCGGCCCAGTGTTAATGGAATGACGGAGCAGGACCATGCATCTGAGCCAGGGAAGCAGAGGCTGAGGGGGGCACGGGCTGGATGGGCCCAGTGATCTGATCCAGGTTGCAGGGGGATACCAGTCTGGAAGGGCACATTGGTCTAATCCTGGGGGAGAGATAACAGGCTAAATGGGCCCATTGGTCTGAGCCAGGGCAGAAGGGAGAGGGGATCTGAGCCAGGCTGGATGCACCAGGGGGTTGTTAGGTCCTGTCCCACCCCCCAGCACCAGAGGCGTAGTGAGGGTGTTATGCTCCTGGGTGCAAAGGCAGAATTTGCACTTCCCCCCACCACCATGTAGGGGGGCTCTAAACCTGGCGCACAGCTGAGCCTGACCCTGGGAGGAAGGGCGAAGCTGGTACCGCATCTTCCTCCATCCCCTCCAGTTTGGAGCTGGGCCCCTGAACACATGAACCCGCCAGCGGAGATGGAGGAGGGTCGGGCTGGGGGTGGAGAGGTGAGGAGGCTCCAGCCCGGGGGCAGAAGAGGAGCAGGCGAGCTGAGGAATAGCAGGGTGGTGGGGGGGGACTAAATTGGCGCCCCCCCCTAGCATGGCACCTGGGGGCAACTGCCCCTCCCCACCCCCCGTTGCTATGCCACTGCCCAGCACCCACCTGTCTGAGAAGATGCCGAAGAGGAGGGCTCCAAGCAGCACCCCTGCCATGAACAGCGTCTGCGCCAGTGCTGGGAGGGGGCCCAGATCACACACCAGATCCCACTAGCAGACAGACAGACAGTAAGATATAGGTCATGATACCCCCAGGGGGCCCCTCGTAATTAGCAGCTTGGTCTGGGGGACTGGAACTCCATAGCCACCCATCCCCCAGCACTCAACTGTCCCCCACATCCTCCTCTGGCCTCCCCATCTGCTCCCCACTCTTCTGTACTCCCAGTTCCTCCCCTCTTCATCCCTCACTTCCACTGCCCCTCTCTCTACTGTATCCCCTCCCCTAAGTGCATCCTTCATGTCTTCTCCTCCATCCCTGCCCCCAGCAGGGCTCTGACGCAGGGCAGCAGGGAGGAAGGGGATTCCCAGCTATACCTCCGTGACGATGGTGGAGGAGAAGGTGCTGTGATCGTAGTACCACCCGTCCTGGCAGGGCTCTGTCTCTCCTGCTCTGCCCAGCGAGCTGTTGAGTCTTGGATGCTGCCCAGGGGTGCCTGCCAAGCGCCAGCACCGCGCCGAGTGCAGAGCCAGGAAGATCCCCTCATGAGCTGCAGTGGTGTTGCCCACCCAGCTGGCGTTGGCGCCTGGTAGCGGGGGGCGGCACTGGTGTTCAGGGGAGGCAGCACTGAAGTTCTGCACCAAGTTGTGGCTGGCGATGAGGAGGGCAGGCGCAGTGAGCAGCAGGACACAGAGGAGCTGGAAGGGACCTGCACTGCCCACCTTCTCCAGGAGGTCACCAAAGGCCATAGCTGGGACAGCAGTGGTGGGGGAAATGGATCTGGGGCTCCTCCTGGGGTGACTGCAGGGAGAGACTGGCGCCTCAAGGGAGAGATGGGCACAGGCACCTGCAGGGAGAGATGAGCATAGATGCCCTTAAGGAGCAGCTCTTCCCTGCTCCTGGCTGGCTGCTTTATATAGCCAGTGAGGGGAAGGTAGAGAGGGGGGTTAACGATTGACTCCTGCCATGTTATGTAGCAACCAAGGGTGCCTCCCCTTCCTCCTCACAGTGAGGGGCAGCTGCTCACAAGGAGGAAGGAAACATGGAGGCAGGAGGAAATGGGCACTGGAGACGGGGAACTGGGCTCCAGGGCTGGGGCTGAGGAGAGAGGGCTGGCTGCCAGACTGGGCAGCTCCACTGGGGCCTGGGCACTGACCCTACCCCAGACACTGGAGAGCAGATATTGGTGCTGGCTCTGCCCATGGTACTGAGGCAAGACGCTGGCACTGCCCCAGCAGTGGCTCATCCCCCAGCAAGCTGGCACTAGCCACAGACCAGTCAAGAGTGTTGCTGGTGATGCAGAGTGAGAGAATTCTGGGGTGACTTGCCACCCATCCCTCCTGGGTTGAGGAGGGCTCCTTGGACAATGTGCCTCATGGGCAACAAGCTGTGTCCAGTGTCAGACCCTGCCAGGAGCCCTGGCTTTGCCCTCATTTACCTTTTTATGTTTCTGCCCCTTTAGCCTCCTAAACCATTAACCCTCTTCTATCTTCTCCACACTACACACCCTGCAGACCATCCCTTTAAAGACACAGCTACGCAGCAAACAACTTTCCTCCCTCCCCACGTATATTTTGATCCAAGGGGGTCTGGCTACCTCCCCCAGGCATTGGGCCCAATCCCCCCTTCTTTCGTCACAGCAGCACATTTAGGGTTAATCATTATCTGCCTACTGGATTCCCATTTCCTGTGAGAGCCAAGATCACCCCCCTGACCCCAATTTGGTGCTTTCAGTTCCGCTATTCAGTCACCTATTGCTGAAGTTTGGCCTCCACAGCCTGGTCTGTGCATCCAGTTCTCATCCGGACACACCCTTGTGACACTCTGTGCCTGGGGGGGGTGCCCTGTAGCCCCCATTTTCCTCATTTTGTGTCGAATTGTGATATTGCTTATAAAGCAGGTTGTGTGAGGTATCAGGGGAAAGGTTGTGCTCTGTGGAACAGCACCTATCTGTCTGGGTATGTACATCAGCCCTGCATGTAATAGTATAGGAATTGCACTGTATGGTTTTCACTAAAACATGCTGTGGGGTAGGGAGAGGCCCCAGATACTAGCTCTACAGAGACAACGGCAAGGGAGGTAACCAACCCCCTCCCTAGGTGGGTGCTGTTGAACAGACATCACCAGCCATTGTCCAGCACAGGAGCCACCCCAAGGGAATTGCTCAGCTTTGCTTAGGGATTCAGCACAGCCCACCAGATATACCTGGACTTGGATTCAGAGGTGACACATGGTGAAAGGCATGAGGAGGCAAATGCCCCAAGCACTGTGGGCAGGAGGGGCAAGGGGCTGGCCAGCAGCTGGCAGAAGGTGTAGGGCCCCCTCTCATTCCACCCACACACTTAACCTCTCCCTGGAGCCTCTCCATGCAGGTGCACAGGGCTTGCTATCTGCTCCCAGCACTGCGCGCTGCAATACCCTCTCCCTGTCCCTCTGAGCTAGGCTTGGTTGCCAGCACCCTGCAGACCCCATGTACCTCACAGGACACTCATTCAACCACCCCACTGCAGCAGCAGTTCCCACCAGCAGCAGCTGGCTCCTGGTAGGCACAACAGTATCTATGTGGGAGTTCATGTGTGCGTGCACATGCACGTGCGTGTGAAGCAGTCACTAGGGGCACAAAGGGGCTCTCTCACTGTGGGGACTGGAGACTAGAGGAAGGAGGTGCGTCCTACAGTGACAACAGCGGGGAAGGGATAGCAAGGATGTGGCGAGGGTTAAGGTGTCTGGGACAGAAGTGACCTTGCTGTCAGCGTCTCAGTAGGGGCCTGCTCTAACCCAGGGGGTTGGGAATGTGAGGGGGCACAGCACTTATCCCCCTTCTTACAGCCCCTGCATTATCCTGCTGCTCTGCCCCTCTGCTATCTCTGTCCTCTGAATGGACTGGCCACTCTCCCTTCACCTCCCTCATCCATTAGCTTTAAGATGCTTAGGAGCCCCAAATCCATGCTTAACTCAGCCCACAGCGCCTCCCTCCTTGCTGAAAACAGATTCAGCCACACATGAAGCCATGTTGTGGACCCAGGCTTAATGCTCCCTGTGACCTATACCAGCGCAGTCCAATGCATTGCCGCATGATGCAATTTAAAGTGACAGCATCTGTCTCAGTTCAAGGGCTGCTCTCCTTTCTCTGTCCTGCTAGCGCAGTGCAGCCCTTGCGTTTTGAGGGATGCTGCATGCTGCAGTAGCCAGAGCAATGCAATGCAGTAGAGTGCTTTCTGCTTCAACGCAATTGCATGAGCCAAAATCCTCTGCTCAGATAGGACTTGAGCCTTTGGAGAGCTGAGTGGCTGAGGGTATCTGGCAATGTTCCCTCTAATTGTTTCAATCCACGTGTGGAATAAATGTTATGTGCACCAAGGCATGTGAAGATGCACACCTCCAGTAGGAACGCATCCTGCCAGCTGCTGCCAACTGTGGGCGCTCTGCTAATCAGCTGGGCAGCATTCAAAACTCTCCTGCGTGGCCACCCAAACCCATAGTTTATAGGGAACAATGTGCCTGGTAGCTTGTGGGTTCAAGCTATACATGCAAGCTGGATCAAGTCATGGAGGTTAAGTCCGTTAATGGCTATTAGCCAGGATGGGTAAGGAATGGTGTCCCTAGCCTCTGCTTGTCAGAGGGTGGAGATGGATGACAGGAGAGAGATCGCTTGATCATTACCTGTTCAGTTCTCTCCCTCTGGAGCACTTGGCATTTGCCACTGTTGGCAGACAGGGGGTAGATGGACCTTTGGTCTGACCCAGTGTGGCTGTTCTTATGTTCTGGACCATTGCACCTGCTTGTATCCTGGGACAGTCCTCCAGGAACCTACCTCAATTTCTCTCTAAATATGGAGAATAATACAGTTATAAGTAGAGTATTTAAGAACAATATTCCCCCTTTCTTTGGGCTAATTACATCAAATTAACCTGCTAACCTCAATAAATTCTGGGTTTCCCAGCCTTCCTTCTTGGGGCTGGGTGATTTCAGTCCTGGCCTGCCTGGCCTGTATACTCAGCCCTCTCCATTGGGGCTGTCCCCCAGCTGAGCTCTCCATCTCCACAACTGAGCAGCTGGGTCTGCAGCTTCTTCTTGAGTTGTCTGGCCAGTCACTGATCCAGCTTTTGATCCTCCCCAGGTGGGTCTGAACTCCAAAACCCTCCCTGTGCTGACTGGGAGAGAGGGGGACCTTGTCCTGCTGTCCACACCATAAAGGGGTGCTTGGTCCTGGGCCCTTCAAGGAATAATGGTTTAGAATGGTCCAATATCTTTCTCCTCTGTGACACTTTGTACTCCAAAGCAACACGCTGGCTGGCATCCCCATATGTACTGTGATGATATGTTTTGGACAGAGTATGCCTGGTTATGTATCATGCTCAAAGTCTTGACTGGTTACACATTAATAGCCTGTTGGACTGTATGTGTTCTTGTTGCACAGGAAGTTACAAAGTGTTCCTATGTCTGTTACGGAATAGGGATGTGAATGGTTAACCAGGTAACTGGTAGGGGCCGGAGCAGCTCCCTGCTTATCCTTGACTGTGGCAGAGGGGCCGCTCCCCCTACTCGCCCCCCTCCCTTTAATCAGTTAACCAGTTAAACAATGTTTAACCGGTTAAATGGGATTTTACAGCCCTGTGATGGAAATGCTCACAACCAGTTTTTCACAGATATCAATGGAGAAACCAGTGTTGATGGTTCATTAAGGGGAATGAACACAGTGAATCCACAGTGCAACTGTCACCTGGTGGGTCAATCATACCACTGAGCTCACCTACCTGTCCCCTAGGGCACTCCACCACCCTGTCCTGATGAGCCAGAACCTCTGGTCTGCCCTAGCAAAGACAAAGAGCTGGAGTCACAGTCCACAGCAGAGCAACACAGACACTGAGGCTACGTCTACACTGGCCCCTTTTCCGGAAGGGGCATGTAAATTTCATGAGTCGTCGTAGGGAAATCCGCGGGGGATTTAAATATCCCCCGCGGCATTTAAATAAAAAT